TATGTATCGTATCGTGACCCGTCTGTCATGATATGTATCGTATCGTCAAATTCTTGCCAATACACAGCCCTAATTTCGATACGGTGGAAAACCACCTCATCCTAGAGCAAAAACATTTTGTCGAAAAACGTAATTTTTTTTTTCTAAATTGACGTGTTTCCATTGAGCAAATTTWTTTTCGAAATTCTAATTTGCRCATTTTCATGGTSAATGGARACRCAGCTAMTGTCTCCTGTTGAACTCTTTGTTTTTTCTTTCATCCAGATGTGCTGGAGTGTGCTCGTACGAAGGTCGAGGTGGACTCTGCTCGATCCGCCTCAGTGAACCTCTGCTGAAACTGAGACCCAGAAAAGACCTGGTGGAGGTGAGGAGCATCAGTGGAACCTGGTTCATAATTAAAAATTATTCTATTTTTTTATTGTTTGTTTCCACAGACGCTCCTTCATGAAATGATCCACGCGCTCCTGTTTGTGACCCAAAACAACCGAGACCGAGATGGCCACGGTCCAGAGTTCTGCAAACACATGAACAGGATCAACGAGAGCAGCGGGACTAAAATCACCGTAGGTGTTTCTTTCTGTCAGTTGAACACCTTCACTGATCTGAAACTTTATTTTTTTACCATCATCAGGTCTACCACAGCTTCCACGATGAGGTCGACGTCTACCGGCAGCACTGGTGGCGCTGCAACGGGCCCTGCCAGAGCCGCAGGCCTTATTTCGGCTACGTGAAGAGGGCCATGAACCGCGCTCCGTCCTGTTTGGACCCGTGGTGGGAGGACCATCGGAGGACGTGTGGCGGCTCGTACACAAAGGTCAAAGAGCCCGAAGGATACGGCAAAAAAACTAAAGACAAGAAGGATGGAAAAACCTCAGAGAGGAAGAGTTCAAGTAAAGGTAACTTTTTCTGCCTTTTCCAGATATTTCAGCTTTAATAAAAGATCATATTTAAAGATGTGTTTCTGTACAGGTTCTGGGCTCCAGGACAGAAGGAACATCGTCCCTTTCAGTGGGGAAGGTGTCGTCCTGGGAGGRAGGTCTCAGACCTCATCATCCTCCACGTCTCCCGGCAGACCACCCGTCTCCACCGAACCAAAGAAGTCCGTCGGAAACTCAAGAGTTTTTCTAAACATCAACGGCTCTCCCGTTAAAATCCCCAAATCTCAGCGCAGCGCTGGAGGCCAACGAGCCGACAAACTCAAACAGAGATTTATTCAGGATCTGTTCAACAACACGAACAACAACAAGTCCACAGCTGCGTTCTCTGACCTGGACTCTGAAACTAAAAGAGACACGCTGCCGCCGCCGTCGTCTTTTACTAAACATGAATCCAACGATGCGTCATCCATCAGCTCAAAAACACATTATTCACCTCTACCTTCAGCTTCCAACTCTAAGTTCAGGGATCCTGGAGGTACGGGAACACCTGGAGCTGCAGGTCACGTGTCGAGGAAGAGGCGCAGCTCAGCTAGCATCTCTGATTTCTTCAATAAAACATCAGGCGGCAGCAGGTCAGCGTCGGGGGAGTCAGGAAACACAAAATCAGCTGCTTCCTCCTCCTCCTCCTCCTCCTCCTCCTCCTCCTCAGTGATGGTCAGCTGCCCTGTGTGCCAAACTAAAGTGCAGGAGTCAAAGATTAATGAGCATCTGGATTCCTGCCTCTCCTGAACGACTTTTAAATTCAATTTTCTTAAACGTTTGAGAGATTTCAGAGTTCAGTTTTATGGTTTAATCTTCTTGTACCAAAGATTTTAGGTTTTAGACTTTGTATGTTTATTAAAGTTTATTAAAGCTTGTTAGTTTGTAGTTACTTTACAACACTAGACTCCTCTTACTCTTATGTTTTTGGTCGTGTCTGTCGTTCTGTCTGTGGACAACATTACTCAAAAACTTGTGGACAGATTGTCATGACATTTTTACCACATGTGGTTCTGGGCCAAGGAACACACCTTTAAATTTTGGTGATGTTCTGGATCACGATGTGGATACATGAATTTTTTTTCTT